TTCCTGAAAATTTCATATAAAAATGTAATACGGTTCTCCAGATAATTTGGCCGGCGTGCACAAATTTCTATTTTGAGAAAAAGACAATTTAAGTTAAAATTTTTGAAAACAATACAACTTTTTTTCATAAAATCTGTTGAAAAATAAACAAAGTTTTCAAAATCCACCAGGAACATGCAAGTCACCTTCTTTTTCAATTATTTTCTCATTCTTCTTCAGTTTCTTGGCACGTAATACTTGCCTTCTTGACTTTTTAACAGGGTTCATTCTAATTTCTGCTTTTTGTAATCTTTCATTATTTAATGATTTGCATCCTGCAATCATATGAAAGCCTGGTTCCATGTCCAGTTGCTTTAAAATATCAATAGATGCTTTTGCTCCAATATTAAAATTGGCAACAGCATCATATACACCAATTGTTAATTGGGTAAGTGATACAAATGTTTGTTTTGGTATACGCTTCCAAATCATTCCATAAAAAGACTCATTGGCATTTTGTGTCTTACCGTGCAAACATTTTTGTAACTCAATGTCTTTCCTTAAATCCTTAAATATAATTCTTACTTTCAATATGACACCCATTGGTAAACCCGGTTCCGGCTTATAGGTTGATGTCTTATTTATTTTATTGGCATTATATTTGCACCAGCTGTCTGCACCAGTGAGGCAGTGTGGGAAATGTAAGCTATTGTTTTTTGAGGAAGCAACATGAAATAGTAATGCCAACACCAGTTGGATCATATTTTTGGAGGCTTTGAGTTAAATTACAACCATTACAATATCTGGACATGATTTCAACATCTAAAATTTTGCCACTAGCAGTAGAGATGGCAGAAAAGACTCCGTTGAGTGATGAGTATCCTCGTTTTTGCCATGTTCCATCGCCAGATAAACAAATATCGGTTACTTTCAAAGCTGTATTTTGCAATTTATTACCAGCATTTAACATTGTTCATTCTGCTACAGTTTTAACAGCTTTTGAAATTACTTTTATCAGTTTTTCAAAATTGTTTTTGGTCATTGGCTTAGGTAGATTCATAATGGTACAAAATTTTTTGATGCCTGCATATCCATGACCTAATAATCGCATACAATAAATCATTTGTTTATTGATATCAAATCCTTTTATATTTGTCATAGTTAAAAGCGTAGAACTTTTGAAAATGGTTACAAGCTCTTTTCATACACTTAAGATATAGTAAGGAAGATAAACCACGTCGTTGAGTATATCTCTCACTTAGTGAGAGTGTTGAACAACCACACTCTGGACACAGAACAGAACTTAAAATAGACATTAAAACAGCAACATAAATTATACAATAACCAGATATGGCAAGTTTTGAAATAATTGTATCTTTTAAGTTTTCGATTTTATGAGCTGAAGCTGATAAATTAGGTGGATTTTCAAAAATTGGTTCAGTAACACAAGTGATGTTAGGGGCACTTGGATTTATTGTCGGCAATTCGATATTAGTACTATCAGATACAATAACAGTATTAACAGAATTTTGAACATTTCCCATAAACCTTTTCCTTTTTTTATGAGTTTGTGTACATTTCTTAACTCGACAAGCTTTTCCCATTTTTACTAATTAAACTAACCTAATAAATTCTCAAGAACTAAGAATATTGTCGTACTTGATGTACCAAGGTGTTGGTAAATTCTAGAAAAACGCATCAAGAAGTTGTTCAAGCTTATGCATTGCAAGTGTAACACTATTTTGGATGAAATTAAGGTAAAAGTATGGTGTATAAAACTGTTTAAGTGCGTTGATATGGCGTTGCTAAGGAAATTACTTAAGAGGTGGTTAACTTAAATAGACAATTTAAGATAGTTAAAGATTAATCTGATACATCCAAAACAAATTTTATGATTCTGCATAGTTTGAAAGAGTTAAAATTAAAAAAAAAAAAAAATTGAAAATTTTGAAATTTTATGGGGGGATAGCCCCTTAAAAAATTTAAAATTTTAAAAGTTTTGTGAACGCAGCAATTATTTATTTCTGATACAGTATATTGTATTTTATAATCATATTTCTATGTGTATTTCTATGTCATAGTATTATGCACATTTCTGCTTTACAAATAATTCTCTGGATCGAGAAGCAGTTCATTAATCAAAACTGAAATATGAATCAAAACATTAGTTTTAAAAATATTATAAAATCAATCAACAAAATCTAGCTTTTTTTTTTTTAGCCTCCCAAATATCAATGAAGTTGTCATAGCTTAACTTTTTAGTCAAATCTTCTTCAATCGAAATAATCAAATAAAAGTGATGCGATCCATGGTCTACCAGAGAAAAATTTTTTTTACAGTTATTTATTTTCAATTCAATCGTTCATCCTCAGCAACTGACTTATGAATAATGTTAGAAATCCGGAGCATAATGCAAATGTATGGAAAAAGGTGTTCAAGCTTCTTCTCAAAGATTTGATTGAGTAGCTACATTTTCTTTCCTTGCTTTAAAATTCTTTTGCAAGTATTGTTAAAACGGCTAAGTTCTTCACTGACATTCTTTTTGTTCGCATCTCTCGGATAAAACTGTGCAAGTTCTCATACTTTATTGCAAAAAGCGACTAATGTCGTTAACAGTAGAAAGTTTTTTTTTACCAAATCGTAACTAACAATACAAATTCAAAATATGATAATTATTTTTTTAAATCTCTTGGTTGGCTGAGCTCCTCACTAATCAGATCCAGATTTTTCATGACATATTTAAGAGTTTGTAAATAATCAATAAAAAAAGCATAAAAAATAATTTATGTTCGAGTTAATGTAATTGTCGGACTAGAAATTCCTGAATTGTTGAAATTTAATGATTCAAAATTATTTATTTATATAGGGCAGAGTTTGGAGAAGTGTGACACATAAATTTTTTTTCAGGGTAATTACTATATCTTTTTTATTTGATGTATAAACTGAACTAAACAAGTTTTTACAAATAAACCTTCTTTTTAGGCACCCATTCAATCCCCTTAGGTTTCCAGCCAATTAGCCATTGGGGTAATCCAGCCATTGGGGTAAAGTGGGACAAGTGTGAGTAGGAGTGGGACAAATAAATTTAAAACAACATTTCAACACAAATTATTAAATAGAAACTGATAAAATCATAAAATCACCTAATAGACATAAAAATGTTCAAGAACTTTTATCAATCGAAATAATCAAACGGCAACGGAAAGAAGCGGAGCATACATACTTCTTTTTTCTGTCCCACTCTACCCCAAAGTAAACACTTTTTGAAGGTAAATTTCAAAGTTAGGGTTTTTAGCGCACGCAGGGAAACAAAGCAATTTTCGCTAAATAGAAAGAAAGAAATTTAAATGTTTACATTAAATAACGGTATTTAGGCACCACTCCTAATTAGAAATTTCAGGCTGTCCCGCTTCTCCCCACTCTCCCCTACTCTGAGGGTAAAGTTAAAAAAACGTTTTTAAAACTCTACTTTAAAAATTACTTTTTATTTTCTCTACAAAAATTGTGTCAACTTATAACACAGCATACTTGCCTTCTAATCTAAACATTAGAACTTCTTCCCGTAAGTAAACGTAAACGAAGCCCTTTTTATTTAGTCGGCAATAAACAGATATGTTATCCCCTGCTCCCTCCCTCTTTTAAGATTTTTTCGGTACGGCCACGGTTGTGTGAAATTAAGAAAAAGATGAGCTAAGAAAATCAAATAACATTAACAAAAAATTTCTCGATAATACTAATAATATAAAAACCAGCAATTGAGTGGTTAGTAAGAGGTTTTATGTGTGTAAAAACACAAAGGCGTGATTTAAATACAATATAAAAAGCGGGAAAAAAATTAATTCTAAAAGAGAAGTTTCCACTACGGTCCGAATAACTTAAATTTACGAATATAACAAACCCACGATAAAAACGTACATTAACAAACGCCGTATACTAAAGACATACTGTTTAGTCAGCTAAACTCAAACAAGTATATAAAAGCAATTATAACAAGTCATCGGTTGTGACTATTATGCTTGCTCATAAAATGCTAAAATAATACAATTATTAAACTAATAATACAACTAAAATATTTATTATATTTTTGTTATTGTATATAAATCAGAAGCATTACTACAAATAAATGTTTTTATATTAGAAAGTATTGTTTCTGAATTAAAACAGTACGCTATGTCGCTTGTTCTAATTAATGCACAACATTGTCCTTTCGGCATAAAACTTTTGTGCTTTTCATTGATTGGCTGTAGAATAAGTTTCAAAAATAATAATTTTTATAAAATTCTTTCACGGCTTTTAGATTGCTTAAAAGAAAAAATTATAATTTATAAAATACGGAACTGTAAAATGGAGCCAGGTAGGCTTGCGTTGTAATTTGCTCTTGTGTGTATATATGTTTTTTACCAGTTGGTTGTGTTATTATGAAGTTGCGGGTTAGCCGCAAAACGTATAAGTTACTAGTTTTTTGCACTTTCCAAGTTCGTTATATGTTCGTTTTTTTTTTTCAATTATTTTTAATTTGTTTACTTCTAAATAATACTTTTTTAAATAAACAAACATTATAATATGAATAGTTTATTAAAAAAATAAACAACAACTAAACAACATTTTCTTCAAATAGTAGGTTTCCTTCAGAACTTCACCAAAATTTTATTTATGTTACGTAATCTAAAAAAATGACTTTTCTTACGATGATCAATAGAAAATGCTGTTTAGCTATTCAAAGATCATCAAATTTTGGCTTTTAATCGTTTAATATTTGAATACACAAATTCCTCAAAGTTATCAAATTTTTAATTTGAAGAGTTTTTAGTTATATATAATAAATGTTTAATTAAAAGCTCTATTTATAATTATATATTCATTTTTATTTGTCATTAAAATATTAAGCTTATGAATTTTTATTCATAAATTTTATAAATTATTACTAATTATTAATATTTATAGAATTTAATTAACTTTACTCTCCTGTTATCGTGTTTTTATTGGCAAATTGATTAAATTTTAGAATTTTTATTTTACAGAACATAAATTTAATAGAGAAAGCTATTACAGTTGTCAAGTTTCAAAATATATACTTGGTAATCATGATCTAACAGTTTCAATACTTTTATGCTATGCTTTGTTGCCAAAGTTTCGGAAATAATCAAAAAAGATTTTTCATAGCAGCTTTTTTTTCTTGCGCCCTCTTATTTGTGGTGCAATACAAGTTTAATTACTTTTCACTTTCACAATGCTCAACTAATGGCAGGTATAGAAAGCAACTTTTTTTTATGTTACGATTGTTTGTATTTTTACGTTTGTGTTTATTATGTATGTAATAAGTCGTTTTTTATGCAACTTTTTTATGTTTTTTTATATTGTTTTTAAAGATTTTCTGTGTTGTTTTTATTGATTCTTTAATTCAGTTTTTTTAGTTAAAAAATTATTGCTTTGCTGTATACTTTGAACAAAGAATTTTTATTCTAAGCACATTAAATTAAGAATAATAAAAACTAATTGCACATATTTCACATTTTGAAAATTTTTTTTTTTTTCATACAGATTTATTAAACGCTTTGTAGAAGAGGAGTTAGTCGAAAAGAACGATTTACGCAGTGATGAAATAAAAAATAAAAACGTAATTATCAAATCAGTAGAAAACGAAAAATGCCGGCCGACAGAATACGTTTTATTTCTCAAAACTCATAAGACTGGATCTTCCACAATTACGAATATTTTAAATCGGTACGCGGTTCAACATAACAAAACTGTTTTGCTTCCTAAAGGTTCCGAGTATTATTCGTTTGACTGGCCTAATAAGTTTCGTTTAAGTTCAGCCATTAATACTTATAAGAGACCAAACTTTTTAGCCAACCACGCACGATACAGTAGAAAATCGATGAACGTATTATTTCCACGCGAGGATACAATATACATAAGCGTACTTCGTCACCCAGTTTCACAATGGGAAAGCACGTTTCAGTACATGAGTTTCCCTTATATACTTGATATAAGCTATCAAGAAGACGCAATGGATTTTTTTTTAAACAACCCACCTTCTACAGAAAACATAATGGAAATTTCTAGGAAGTACCCATCGCTGTATTTGATTCGTAACCCACTTTTCTTTGATCTGGGATTAGATCATTCCCATTATGATAATTCTAGTTATATTAAGCGTGCTTTAAAAACGCTAGACAACGATTTTGAGTTATTTTTAATAATGGAACACTTTGACGAATCATTGACGTTACTACGACGAAAACTTTGTTGGGAAATAGACGACGTTGTTTATTTTAAAATGAATGAAAGGCTCAGCCAAAACAAAAGAAACGTCGTTACTCAAGACCAGGAACAAAAAATTAAAGCATGGAATAATGCCGACGTCGTACTGTATAATTATTTTGTCGAAAGATTTTGGCGTCAAGTTAACGATGAAGGACCAGGGTTTTACGACGACGTTATTGAACTTAAAAAAAGACGCGAAAAATACTCAAAACTTTGTATAGAAAAAGAGGCCGTAGAAGAAGCATACTCATCAGTTTTTGTCAAAGGATATAAAATTAAAGCAAATTTAACTGGTAAAAATCAAACTTTTTGTCGACATATGTTGACAAACGAAATTCATTTTATGGATTACTTTCGTGGTCAACATGCAAAATGGGTAGACCTTCTAGAAGGAGATACAATAAAAAACTTTGACGAATCTACTGAGGAAGCAGATATTTTTATTAAAATACCTGTAATAAATGCAACAGACTTTATTTATGGTGCTCAAAACCGACCGGAATATAGTAAAACAATTAAAAAAAAGAAAGACATAGTTCATAAAGACAGAAAGAAACACAAAGAAAAAAAACAACCTAATTTTATACAAGAAAATTCTGATACAAATGACGTAAACATTAAAGTTTCAAAAACTACCGAGTTGATGGAGGAGTTATCAAATGCAGATACTGCGGGTAAATCTTTTCCGTTAAAAAAAAACCTTGAAGATCTAAAGTTTGATGGAAAAACAATTGTTAAGACCCAGCCAGAAAATGAAACTTTGCCTTGGCTTTAAATGTTTAGTTTGATTATTTCAAATTTATGTTATTTTATGTTAATTTATGTTGATACTAAAGAAAATAATGAAGTACCTTAAAATACAATTCTTGCATTCAAATCTATTCAAAAGTTTAATTAAAATGTTGTAACATAAACTAATTAAAATATTTTTTTTTTAGCATTTCCACCATTTTTATTGTTCTCTCTAATTTTGTGTAACTATTTTTATTTAAGTAAAACAGGACTTGTGTTACAAGACCTGTTTTAGGTAGATAAAAACTAGTTAAATAACAAATTATTCTTAGGCTCATTTGACAAAAATTCAAACAAGTCTAAGAATAGTTTGTAACTTTTTGAACAGTTCAATACTTGTTTGGTTTCTAGGCATACAAATCTATCAGAAGTTTTTCAATAAGGTTTCAACATTTTTTTAACCTCATATGGCCATAGTCCTGTAAGGTGAGTTTTGATATAAAAACACTGAAATAAAAATTCATTTATGATTTCATTTTAAAAACCTCACCCAGAATCTGAAAAAACTGTTTTGGTAATGTTGTGACATTTACGTCGCAACATTTATATTTTTATTATGAAATAATAAAAATATAAATGTTAATAACAAAAATATAGAAATATCAACTGAATAATATAATAAAAAACAATTCAGAAATAAAAATTAAATAATATAATAAAAAATCACTTGTTTGATAAAATGAAATTTAAATTCATTTTTTTAGTACTTTTACTTTTTATTTTTTGCATGATTTTAATCGCTCTTTCGACACAAATATTATTTCTTTGTGTTTGAATTACTTTAAACTCTGTTTCAATGTTTTCAAAAAATTGTTTGTACTTGTGTTTCTTTAAATTCAATTTAAAAAAATTGTTTGTACTTGTGTTTCTTTAAATCCTTGTTCAACATTTCATAAATGTCTTCTTAAGAAGACATTTTTATAAATTTATAAAATTGGTCACTGAACCAAACATCAAACCAAGTTCCATAAATTAATTCACAAATTTCAGCAAGCAGTTCACGTCGGTCTGGAAGTAGCAGAAAAGCAAATAGGGAAGACCAGGGCTAGTTGGCAGCAGTGGTAAATTGACGAATTGCGTTTATCTTCAAATTTTTTCATCAGAAAGTGACAAAAATTAAACAGAACGTTATTAATTGAGCATTTCATCATTCGCTATAGTGATGTTAGGATTTGCGCATGTGCATGGGAGATGGATTTATGTTTTTTTTGGACAAAAACGTAAATTTTGGAACATCGCTTCCTTTATATTTTATACAAATAGTCACAGGAAAAAAATATTATTGTAAAATTTCCAGTCACGTTGGTTTACTATTTCCATTCAGACTTTTTTTCAATAGTTGCCGTTTTTAAGGATCTATATACCGTCTATTAAAAAAAAAAGGCTTTTGGGGTAACTTGGCAAAATATGGCTCACAGCATTTACTATGGAAAAAGTATATATTTTTATGAAATTAATCTTTTTTGTTTTTTGGATTTCTAACAATATTTAAAAAATTTTGTTTTTGCAATATTGTTTTTATTTTTGTAGGCTAAATTTTTTATTTATTTTTTAGGCCCCAGAAGAGTCCCAAAAAAATTTTTTTATAATGAAAGCAAGTTAAAAGTGTTAACTATATTCATACTCTTAAAGATTGCGCTTTAATATTTACAAAAGTTTTGGCCTTTTAGGGAGTAGCTCTAACAGTAAAATTTTTTTAACAATTATCCCCGGTCTCCCCTAATCTATATACTGCTCTAGAGTTTTACCTTACATTACTTATTTTAGGTAATGCTTTAAAAGTAATAAAGAAAAATAACCCATGTTTTTGGTAATATCGATAAGCATTTCCCAATTCATTTAAAAACTGCGTATCGTTATGCCAGTTGATGTTTTTGAATTTTTGCATCATTTTGTCGAAAGTCATTTCTTAGATTTGAATAGTTGTCACTTACAAGTGGGTGATTGATGTTTAGCGTTGTGAAAGGGGGAGGGGGCAGGGGAATGAGTAGAGAGTGACAAAGGTTTGGAGTGCACATTAACTCCCAGAAACATTTTTTGAGAATAACGCTTCTAATAGATTTCGGTGCTTTTATGTGCGAACATTTGTTAGACATCTTACGGACTTGTAGTGCCTACAAAACGTTTTACAGACGTCTTACGGATGTCTGTGCCCGTCCACTAAGAATTTAGTCAATGGAATGCTTTAGGAATAATTAGGAAAGTTTACGTTGCTAATTTTTTTAATACAAGTATTTCTTGCTTGTTTAAAGTTTTTTACCATTTTCTTCTTTTGATGGTAAATTTCTTACCATCTTCTTCTTTTTAAAAGTTTCTTTAAAATTCTGCTGCAATTTCTGTTATCCTCTAACAGATGCTTCATATATCGCAGATTGAGTTAGTGGATATTAACACCTCGTTCAGGGATATCAAAACCTCGTTCAGTGATATCAATATCAAGTTCAGGGATAACAATACCTTGGTCATAAAGTTGTTCACAAACTCTTGCTTATTTACAAAAACTTAAATTATTTTCACTTTGTGAATTGCAGTTTTTGTATTAGAATATTTTTTAGTCTTTCTTTTTTTTGCGAGGGGTTCAACAGTGTAAATATAGTTATTAGTATCATCAGGAGTTTCTCGATTCTCTGTTATATTGGAAGCAAATTCAGATTCTACATTTCTATTTAAAAAAAGGAAGAAGACATTCATTATTGCTTGAGTTATGTCCTTAATATGCTTTTGATGGATGCAATTTATCTTGTATTATTGTTGCATATCAACTTCTCCTTGTGATTTAATCTGCACTGAAGATAAAATTTTTTATCTTCAGTTGCCGACCAGATACCATCTATTTTTGTAATATCAAACACATTTGCAAACTTAACATGAATGCAAACCTTATCATACTAGTTAAAGTTATTTTTTTTCATTAATGCACTAACCTTACTCACTATTGATTTTTCTGTTGTAAGTGGAAAATTGAACTTTTTCACAGTTTCCTCAACTCATCAGCTATCACTTTAATTCTGACAATTCTCGATTTTTTTTTATCTTTTGCAAGAAGGTAATACATTCAAATAAATGTCATTTCTTTTGGCATTTTAGATAAGCCATCAAATGGATTATTGATTGTTGGTAACAATTATTTTGTGTGACACAAAGAACAAAAATTTGGTCATTTCTATCGTGCCGTACCTTTAGCGTAATATTTCAATGTGTGTCCTGGTGAGGTTTTTTGTAAAGGAAAAGCAAAAACGTACTATATATTTCATTTTAACACTCTTGCTCCTCATGTGGTGTTAGCAAATCTAAAGTTTTAAATAAACCTGGAAACACTTAACATGTTTAAATGCAAATAAAACATGTTTATATTACTTCTCTATACCACCTAAAACTATTTGAAAGTAATTATTTAAAAATTTTTAATAAGCAAATGTCTAAATTACAACACTATGATTAGAGAACAAGCACTTTTTTTTATAAAATACAATTTTTCTTTATCTCTAATTTTTAAAAAACATGAAAAGTGTTTTGTGAATAGTGAAAAGTGTTTTGTATGTATTTTGGCAAATAAAGTAACTTTTATGCATATCTTTATTTTAATTAAATAAGCGATACATTATCTAAAGTATAAACCATACTCTTTACAATAAAAAGAAAACTTTGTCAAAGTAAATTCCAAAAACATGAAACCCAAAGTACATTGCTAAGTGAAAAGATAACTCAAATATTAAAATTAAGCTAGGCAGGCATATGGGACGCTTAAATTGTGCTTCTAAACCAGATATAGACAACCTTTGATATGCTGTGGGCCAAGCTTTAGTGTGCAAATACGTTTAAGTGCTGCGACTAAAAGGAACGCATTTTAAAGTAATGTTTTAAACCGGTAAGTAATAGTTTTGTAACGATAGATATCAGACATGAAATAATTAGATATTTTTTGTTATAAAACAATTTGTTAAAATAACAAAATTTAATGAAAAAATTTATAACATTATAATCAAATCTTGAAATTTAGAATTATTACAAACTAAAAAAATTGAATAAATTGCAACACTAAAATAAATTAGACACTTGAATTTGAGAAACTAATACAAAGACCTAAAGGATTTTCCAAGTTATCGTCATTCTATGATGTTTTGATTTATTACCTTTCATCATTGAAAAAACTGTTAGCATTTATAAGTATTGCTAATCGCACAAATCAATGTTCTTGTTAATTTTCTGAGCTAAGGAAAATGGTCTTCTTTGATGTATTTTTTGTAGAAATTGCACAACTCTACCTCTTTAAATAAGGATTTTAGGAGTGAATTTTCTCTTTAACTCAATCAACTTATTTACAAGTGTATTGGAGCATTTTGTATTGTATATTATTTATTTTTGCATTACTTTTTGCTAGAGTAGCAAATAAATTGAAACATTCTTCCATGTTTTTGAAATTGCTAAAAACTGTTCCGATAGAAACTTGAGTTCTTCAGCATTTAGAACAAAGGCAATATTTTCATACGCAGATAGCTTAGTGAAATGATAACTGTTACCAGATAGCATCTGTGCTTTTCTCGAACGGATTTTTTCTTAAACGCTTTTAAATGGCTGTACCAATCATTTCTAACTGTCCTTGTTTTTGAAGTTTCAAATTTAAATCATTTAAATAACCTGTAAGGTGGACCAGAAAAGTCATATATCCATTTTGGGTCATTCATTTCAGTTTAACTCATTGCTCTTTATCATCTCAGTTCAGGTGGTTTATTTGTCATTGTGGTTTATTTGTCATTATTTGTCGTATTTGCATAAAATCAGCTATCTTTTCCTCTCGTAAAACCATATCAGTATTTTCCCATTGCTTGGCCATCTGACTTCACAATAATATGTTACGCATACATTACAATAACATATTACAATAATATGTTATATTTGATTGATATTTCATCTAAAAACGACTTGAAATAACAATGGTTAAGCCCTCGGGATTAAATAAAATTGCTGGTTTTTACTTCCATATTCATAACATTCTGGACTCGAAATCGACTTAAAAAATAAGTTCTGTTAATGGATAATGCAATGAAGGACAAACCATATTTTGTTCATTTAATTTAGTTGCTTTTTTATTCAAAATTCCAATGAAACCTTTACGTAAGCCTACCAAAGAAACCTTTTCTTAGGATAAGAAAGTCCATCCTGAAGAAATATTAACCCACCATCTCTTTCTTGCAATAACTAAAATGTGCTTGAAATCTTTTCATATGATAAACAGAAAAATGTTAAGTTTCAAAGATTTTTATATTCAATATTTAAATATGAAGATCGAAACCACTCTCATTTCTGAAAATTTTGTATGATTTATGATGTCCTTCTAATTAAGCAATATTTTAAAAAGTGTGGCTCACTCCTACCCATCTTCCTCTAAACATCTCTCCTTTTGTGGAAACTATTACTGGTGAGAAAATAAATTAGCATATAATTTTTTTTTGGGCAGTACGTAGGAAAAGGAGAGAAGGCTACAGCTGAAACTTATTAAAAGCTAGATTTAATATATAAAAAAGAAAAAAAGTTGTAAAAATTATATACATTAAAATAATTTATAAAATTACAGATTTTAATGCAAAATATAATTTGAAAAATAAATTAAAAAAAAAAACAAAGTATTTTATTAGTCATTTTTTTGTTTCAAAGTTCGTTAACATAATTTATTTATATTTGCTCGATGTCTTATGACTATTTACATTCAAAGTTCGTATGTTAACATAGTTTATTTATATTTGCTCGATGTCTTATGACTATTTACAAAAATAATTTGCTTGAAGTTTGATGTCACATGACTATTTACAAAAATCACAGTAAAATATTTCTAAAACTTCAATAAAAATTTAAAAATATAAAACATTGAGTTTTGAATAAAAATATCTTCGAAAATAAAATAAAAAAGTTACACTAATTTGTGAAGTTGTAACACATAAAATTAAGTTTACGTTTAAATAAACATTATTTTTAGTGCTTTAATCATGCGGGTCACTTGAGGTGGGTTGAATAGAAAACTGACTAAATCGATTTAAGCAGTGAATAGCGGATTACGTAATTTTGAGCTGAGGAGATTAAAATCCAGCGTTAAAAAAAGATATAATACCAAATTCTTCTGGTGTATAAACTAGCTTTTGAGTTAATATGTATCTTTCATCATTAAACTCAAATTCTACTCGAACCTTCATAAAACATGGTCCCTTAAAAAGTATTGAAAAAGAAAAGTCATTTTAACATGCATACATACATACATTGAGTGCTCAATGTTCTTAAAAGAACAGAGCAATTAAAATCACTTAACAAAAATCACTAAACAAAAATTTTTTTTTATTTTACACGGTGTTTCATCAACAAAGACTCATCAGAAATTTCTGATGAGTCTTTGTTGATATATATATACATGTATATATATATATATATATATATATATATATATATATATTATATATATATATATATATATATATATATATATATACACATATACAAATAAATGTACATTTAAATACACGAGGCAATATAAAATATCCCAATTGTAGAGACACCTTAGAAGTTGTGATGTTTAGAGCCATGTTTTGACAAAAAACTATATCATTAAATATCATCATCTCTGCCAGAAGTCATATTTTGTGATTTTTTTGATGACAATGAAGTTTATTAGTTCTTAAAGTATTAAGTTTTAACGTATGTTATTCAATGTGTCTATCGGTACGTAACATTTGCATTTCTGAAATGTGATTTAGACAATTAGATACATTATTTGCGTTATAGTAAATAATTTGTTTGTATTTTAAGTAAAAATCTACCTTTTTAATAAGTTTTTTATTCACCTGGTTGCCAGGAAAAAAATGATATCCCCAAATAAACTCTGGCTTCATCACTAATATATAATGTATATATATGTATGTTCAAATTCACTTATATGGGATAATAAATATATTTTTTATTTTGTAAATAAATGTATACTTTATTTTGAATACCATAAATAAAGTGCTTTTTCACATTTGATCTGCTTTTTATTCACACATCTGATTTTTATATGTATAAATGTATATATATGTGTGTTCTGATTCATAAACTCCTACTTATATAGAAATGCAAGTTCTTAAAGTTCCATATATTTAAGTAAAACATAGCTAAAACCATAGTTTATATTATTTATTTGACATTTACTTTAAGTAAGCATGACCAAGCAAAAGCCAACATAAAACGCTACTCACATTGAGCCTCTGTATACTAGTTAGTAAAGTCCATCTCTCTCTGTCTTCTTGGTTAACAGATGTTGATAAAGAAGTTACACTATCAAACCGAATGCTTTTTGAAATGAATTCCTGAAAAATTGTAAAGAAAATATAAAGTATACAAACAAAATAAACAATCAAATAAAAAATTAAAAAAACCAAAATAACTTACTTGATTTATTGTAAAACTATCTTCAACATTATCGTATTTTATACAACTATGGTCCTAAATATAAATATATATATATATATATATATACATATATATATATATATATATATATATATAAATATATATATATATATATATATATATATACATATATATATATATATATATATATATATATATATATATATATATATATATATATATATATATATATATATATATATATATATATATATATATATATATATATATATATATATATAAATATATATATATATATATATATATATATATATATATATATATATATATATATATATATATATATATATATATATATATATATATATATATAAATTAGTAGAAAATCACTTAACTAAAATTTTTTTTCACTTTACACTGTGTTTCATCAACAAAGACTCATCAGAAATGAATGATCAAATTAATAAAACTTCAATTTATACCAAAAAATTAAATTACAGAAAGTCACAAATGTTTTAACTACTGTAAATTTTCACACATTTGTGGAATTTGCTGACACTATTATAAAAAGAATTCTTTAGAAATGATTACTTATGCTTTTTTTTTATAAAAATATTTTTTTTTAAAAAAAGGGGGTATTTAATTTAACTATTATTTGAGCTCACTTATTTTTATAGTTTTTTAGGAGAAAATTATTTTCGTGCCTGCATTTAGAAATCAATTCCGATTTTTTGTTTAACAAACATTCTTTTATACAAATTCTATAATGGGCACTGCTCTAAAGAGCTAGCGTCTCTTGTGCCATCTACTAAAATTCATTCTCGTGTTACTCGTCATTCAATTAAGTCTCATCCTTTTTCTGTTACTGTTCCTAAGTGCTCCAAAAACTCTTATTCGTCTAGTTTTTTTCCTCGAACATCAGTTCTTTGGAATTCGCTTCCTTCATCTTGCTTTCCTGATTCATATAATTTGCAATATTTTAAGTCGTCTGTCAATCGTTATCTTGCTCTACAATCTTCATCTTTTCTCTTCCAGTAACTTCCAACACTAATAAGTGGTTGCTAGCAACCTTGTTGGAAGCGAAGATAATTAAAAAAAAAAAAAAAAGTGTAATTATTTGAAATTTTTCTTGTAAACATAGTATGCATTTTTTGGAAATATTGTTGTATGCAGGCGCTGTTTTTAGGATGCATAATTCAGTATAAAATCATCAATATTTCTATCTTTTAGTTCCCATATATATTTTGACAGCATGGTGTCTTTTGAAAACTTTTTATTTTTAAAAGATTGCTTATGATTGGCAAAACGCATGATTGGCATAAATATATATATATATATATATATATATATATATATATATATATATATATATATATATATATATATATATGTATATATATATATATATATATATATATATATATATATATATATATATATATATATATATATATATATATATATATCTTCTATAGCTTGTTTAGAGCACTAGTTTTGCTTATCTTATGATTATGATTTAAATGTTAATTGGAATTTACTCTATGCAAAGCTAATGCAGACTGGTTTAACTTGACTTCAATCAAAATTTCTGGTGTTGTTGAACCATCAAGTTTTAACAAAAAAATTTGAACCATCAAGTTTTAACAAAAAAAAAAAAACATATTTAAAAAAATTAACACATGTACAGAATTAGGGCAATTCCACTCTCTCTGGAAAAATTTCAAATACAGTTTTATTACAAATATTTACAGGAAATGTTGTAAACATGATAAATAATAAAAAGCAATAGTAACATATGACAATTTAAAATTATCACTAAAAAAACAATTTTGGTAACAAAACCTTGTAAGCAAATGGAAAAACATAAATATTACTATATTTATATTTAAATTAAAATAAAAAAAATCTACTTATTGTAACCATTTAAAATATTTAAATCTTCTTTTGGAATTGACAATATTGAAGCGCAGTAACCAAAATTCTTCCAAATTTTTATTTTGTACTTCAAACAAGTGAAGTCAATTGTTGATACCAATATAGTTAAATCTTTCCTTGAAAAGCTTGTTGTAAACACCAGAACAGAAAAAAAATATTTTTACCCTCTCAATAAATGTGTTGGTGATTGGGTATATATTATTTATATATATTATTGTTATCAGTAACAATAATATATCAAATGTTGCTTGACCAAGAAAAAAGTTGTGTTCCAACTGCTTGGTTTGGGCTAGAATAACTTAATTGTTCACAAATAAGAACACTGTTGAGGCTGCAAATTATAGACCCATTACTCTAGCATCAGTACTATGCAAAATGTTAGAAAAGATTTTCAAGGAAGATTTAATATCATTCCTGAATAATAAAAATTTGACTTCTAATCATTAACATGGTTTTATCAAAAATTTTACAACAAGTTTACTCAAAAGTATGAGTTGTATAACTAAAGTTGTCTGAGAAATCTTGGATTGATATTTTAGACTTGATTTTTGTTTTTGGAAATATAATATTTCAAAAATATTAAATTCTTTAATAATTTTGAAATATTTTTTGGAATAAGTATTTTTGCAATATTTTCCTTGCAATAAACCAAAATACATTTAATAAAAATATATATAAAAAACTAGTTTTATGTTGAAATGCAAGTATCTCAAAAATATTCTATATATCCTAAATAATCATGCTGGGAACATCAGTACATCTATGGACTATCTTAAAGCCGGCTGCTGCAAAGGAGTTTTGCTGCATTGACTGAGAGTTTGGCATGGAGCAGTAGTCTTTTCATCATTCTTTTTTTTTTTTCCATATTTTTCTAAAAATGCCTTATGCTATAAAGGTAGTATAGGTTGTAATAATGATATTTACACTATAGAAGATATTTATACACACACACACACACACACACACACACATATATATATATATATATATATATATATATATATATATATATATATATATTTATGTATATAATTAATATATATATTTTTTATTTATTTGTTTCATTTGACAAATATTTATACAGGATAAATTACTTCATAAATTATTATAATTCTGTTATAAAATTAAGTCCTGTTATAAAATATAATAAAAATTATAATCAAATGAAGTAATAATGATTATTAATGTTATAAAAAAAACATTTAAAAATCAATTTTTAACTTATTTTTCTAATGGTTGATCATTATAGACTCTTGATAAATGATAGATCATTACAGACTCATGGTCTAGAGTATTAGAAAGAACTTTTGAATAACAACTTCAAAGTAGTTTGTAAAGTTTGAATCTGATAAACCAAGAGTGAAAGAAATTCTTCTTTAATAGACAAAATGCAATGAGAATTTGTGAGAATGGTGTATTTTGTTCACTTTGTGCTTGCCGTTTGCATTTATTATACAAGATTCATATGTATACAAAAGTTATAATAGAAGAAGATTTTGCACAGTGATATAAATTTGATGTAAGAACTTGCAACTGCATTACAAACACCACTTGTCCATGGAAAAATTAATGTTTAGTAAGTAATATTGTTTATCAAGCTACTGTGATTGATGAAAATCTTAATCCAAAAGAAAAAGAAAAAGTATATTTCGGTATCAGCGAGACACCATTCAAGCTTGGATACACAAATTATTTAAAATTTTTTAATACCGTTAAAAAAAAAAAGAAATGATACCTTTCTAAAAAGATTTGGAATTTGAAAGAAAAATAAATAAAACACACAAAGTTGAAAATTATAAAATGCTGGAAACCTATCAAAACATATCCAAAATTTGTAACCTCTGTCTTCATGAGAAATTTATAATTTTATATCATAAAGAAAACAATTTGATTAATAAAAAAGACAAAATATTATCCAAGTGTCAACATTTCAACAAATTTCTGTCCTCTTTTGATACCAGAGATCAGAGTTGTTAGTCCTTGGTCCATAATGTTTGACCTTAAAGCCAAAAATTATGGCCTTGGTGTTTCCCTTGAAACTGTTGATCTTGGCCTTGGTCTTGGACTTGAAAATTTTGGCCTTGGCCTTGATTGTTTTGGCCTAAGCCTACAAAAAACAACAACATAATATTAAAGAATTAAAAGTTTTCATTCTTTATTTTTATGTATTATTGTTTTCAGAATTCATATATATCTAAAAGTATATTTTCTTATTGACTTCTTTGACTTCTGCACATAACCTTGGTTTATTTTTACAACATGTGATTTTATTGTCACAATAATTGTTAAATACAGTTTTGTTAATAATTAGCTTTAACGTAAGGTGAAAATTTAAGCCTTGAAAATTTTTGCGTATGAGTTGGCCTTTAAACTCTTATTTTTGGACTTGACCTTAAAACTCTTGGCCTTGGCCCAGTAACGTTTGGCTTGGTTTTGGTCTTGTTACTTTTGGCATTGTTAACAACTCTAAGACTAAATAGTTACATCTTTTATCATGCCAGAAGTTTTATCATGTCAGAAGTTTTATCATGTCAGAAGTTTTATCATGTCAGAAGTTTTATCATGTCAGAAGTTTTATCATGTCAGAAGTTTTATCATGTCAGAAGTTTTATGCCAGAAGTTTTATCATGTCAGAAGTTTTTTCATGTCAGAAGTTTTATCATGTCAGAAGTTTTATGCCAGAAGTTTTATCATGTCAGAAGTTTTATCATGTCAGAAGTTTTATCATGTCAGAAGTTTTATCATGTCAGAAGTTTTATCATGTCAGAAGTTTTATCATGTTAGAAGTTTTATCATGTCAGACGTTTTATCATGTCAGATAGGGTGGTGCTCAAAAAACTTTTTCAAAGTAAATTGATGGGACAACCTCTATTTTTGTTCCTTTTAGCATAACAAACTTATGTGCAAAATTTGAGAAGGATATTTCATCATTAAGGGGTGCCACATGGGGTTGAAAGTTTCACTAAGGTTGATGCTAATGGCTGTAAGCATTAAAAATTTTTTTTTTTAAATAAACTATTTTAATTCAAAAGTTTTTAAATAACAAAGTATTGAACATTGAAAACCATGAAAAATTAACTATAATTTCAATATCATTTTAGTTTTTCATTTTGTTTTGAATGGAAAAATGACTATTT